GTGATGCGACTTCCAAGTGAGATCTTACAGATTAGGCAATCACATGACAAATTTGCCGTTTCCGGATTAGGTCTATTTGTAAGATCCAAACTACGGTTTGGAGTGAAGGACAGCTGTCTGGATGAGTTAGATACGCGCCCTCGCTCGATTGAAACCAAAACAAAGTAATTGGGTATGATAGCGGTTCTAAACAAATATAACCACTTAGCTATCCAACCAATAATTGTTCAATTGATCAAATCTAAACAATCACCACAAATAAATGTTATTCTATCCTGTCTGGATAGATCACGTACAGATTCGTTCGAAAGGTAATAATTGGTCGCTCTATAACACAGAATGCTTTCAATTCTGGAAGAGTGCTTCTATTCACAACCAAAATGCACATTTCCAGTCAACACAGGTCAAGCAATCAAAAGCAGGCACAAACCAAAATGGCTGCCGCCCAGACTTAGTATGAAGTAAAACAACATAAGTGCAGTTCGGGAAGAAACATGGGGAATTGGTGAAGGTGCAGTAAAAACGAAAACTATAATAAAATATAAATACTAACAATTCATATGTAGTCGAAAAGTTAACAATATACAACTAAGAGGATCAATAGGAACAAAGTGCAAGTATATACATGGAGGGATTTTCACAAACACACAAAGCATTCAAAATGGATCTGACACTATTACTAAAGTAGTATCAGTACCGAACTAGACTATAATTATGTATACTAACAGGATTTACAATAGAAATGACTGAGTATAGTTGTTGTATTTATTTTTAAATAATTCACTAGATAAATGAACGTGACAGTAGTCAATATAAAACACAGCTATCATAAACTTCTAAACTGTTTCTCCCCGTGATCTTCCATAATCATGAATTCTCTAATTTGTTCCTATGTTTGTTTATTATTGTTGTGTTGACTTTTTACTCCGTCAAGTACAGAGTATATCTGGTGCAGGGCACTGCAGTTTTTGATATATAGTACATAATTTTTAGTTTTCGCAGTTTAGACCTAGTCTTTTGGTTTATAAAGAGACTAATTGTTTTAAAATCAATTTTAGAGGGTATAGTAGTGTCTAGTGCAGATTTGGTGGTATTAGTGAGTATTTCTAATGTTTCTATGAGGTTATTAGAATAGTGAGATTGTCGCCCTCAACATTTAGAGACCCCATATCAGCACTGTTGAGGGGGAGAGAGATAAAAACGGATGAGATGGTATATATGTAATAGCTTAGGTTGGTTGGTTAAGAGTTGACCCCAAACAACCAAGCATATGCCAAAACAGTATTGTTCAAGTGTTCATTCACTTCCTTACTTTGTATAAGCGTTATATTCCCTAATATCTTATATTGAATGTTGAGAGCCTTTATTTGTCTGAACGGATAATCCAACGCTCCACTGTGACAGCGCGAAGATCGAAATAAAGACCTATTCACTACTTCTCTGGTTTCTTCTATCAATAGCACGAGGGTTACCTTAAGGCACGAAATATATGTCGAATTAGGGCTGATTAAAGAGTTGTGTAGGGTGGTTAAACTTTGACGGTATCTAGAATCACTAGGTGGGTGCCTAAGTGAACCAACATTATAGCTTCTTTGTGTGCGGTGGGCAATTTTAGTCCTATTATAGGTAATTGAGGAGGTTGCTTGTTTCAGGTAAGGAATAGGGAATTTCCTGATATGGCTTACTGGTATCACGTATGGGTGCAGTTTTTGTCGTGGTAGCCTCACGTTAGGAGTAATGAGCACTGCCAGACCACTATGTTTGTTGTAAGAAGTTCTGCTGCTGTGGACGAGTGCATATTGTGGGTTAGGGGTACTGGAGTACTGGTGGGTTCTTACAGACATCTTAGTATTATTTCGTACATCAGTGTCTGAGCGTCTGTAGCCGTTAGGGCGATTCCTGGGAGGATCATTTTTAGGCATTTTATCGGGGCCGCTAGGGCAATACTGGAGCACCATTGAGGCATAGGTGGATTGGCATTTCGGGGTAGCTGAGTGTTTGGGCTCAGGATGAGTGGTTGCAGCTGCCTTATGTCCACTCTTGTCCTTAGGACTAGTAGCAACATGCAACTGGCCTCCGTTTTTGGTAGGAGTAGGGCATGGTGTTTTAGGATTTGTGTAATGGCCAACGTTTTAACTGTCGCTACTACATAGGCTGGGTTGAATCGTTTGCAATTGACTGAAGATTCGATGTTGGATAGCAGTCCTGTCATGGATGATTCTAATCTTTTTAAATGTTGGAATACGTCCCAGTAATGACTGACTATTAAGGAGGTGGTTGACTTTTGTCATACTATCAAACTGAAATAGTATGGGACAGGAGGCTTTAGTCTGTGCTTCACGTAATCTTCTTGTTACACATCAAGATTGCGACAATCCACATTCATGTAGTAGAGTATTCTTAGCAATCTTTACGCTCGTACCATCAGGTATATTATACACAATGACATTCTGCATACACTGTAGTCTTTTCAACACTTCAAATGATATATGGTCGACTAATTTTTCAGTGTTTTTAAAAAGTTCGATTTCGGGACTGGAAAGACGCAATAAGCCCGGTTTGTAACGCTGGGAGCAGGGATTTGTTAGTAACTACAGAGCCACTAGCCTAACTAGTGCAGTTGTAAAACTGATGGAAAAAATTATCCGAATATCACTTACAAACTATATTGAAGGGCATAATTTTTTCTCCAAGGATCAACATGGTTTTCGGAGAGGCCTATCATGCTTGACAAATCTCATTGCAAGAGAAGATTGGGCTGCTGCAAAAGATCCGATTATTCCTGTGGATGTGATCTTCATAGATCTAAGTAAGGCTTTCGATAAGGTCTCCCACTCTGGTCTTAAATTCAAACTGGAACGTTTTGGAATCGATCATACACTCAGAGATTGGATAAGTAACCTTCCTCATGACAGGAGACAAAGCGTAAGGGTTGATGGGGCTTTCTCCTCGTAAGTGCCTGTAAAAAGTGGAGTTCCCCAAGGTACAATCCTAGGTCCTCTCCTCTTTTCACTTTGTGTAAATGAATTACCAACTGTACCAAAATCATTCCTTCTACTCTTCGCTGATAACATAAAAAGTTGGAAACCCATAAACAGTATGTCGTACAGAATAGTATTACAGGATGATCTTAGCTCATTGTTGGCATGGTTGGACAGGTGGTCACTACAAGTAAATCCTAGTAAAAGTGTAGTGATGCAATTCAATAACTATGATGAATCGTGTCACTACGCAATATTTGGATTCGTGCTACCCAAAGTAAGAAACTATAAAGATTTAGGAGTCATATTAAGCAATGATCTTAAAACGACTAGTCACTGTAAGGCTGCTGCTGCGAAAGGCAATAGGGTATTATGGTCAATTCGTAGGTTTTTCCAGTATTTAGATGATGAAATGTTTAGATTACTATACCCGATTTATGTGCGACCACATTTAGAATATGGGATTCAAGCAGCGTGTCCTTGTTTCAAATATGAAGCAGATATGCTAGAAAGAGTCCAACGACGAGCCACTAAGATGGTACAAGGTCTATCTGGCCTATCTTATGAAGACAGACTGAGACACCTTAACTTATTTCCGTTATCTTACCGTAGAATAAGGGGTGATCTAATATTGGCCTATCGTATACTGAACGATGACCTTGGTATTAACATGTCTTATCTTTTGCTTCCGTCTAGGACTGATCATTTGAGAGGTCACTCGAAGAAAGTTCAAAAGCCGAGATCAAATCGTTTACGTCTGCAGTTTCTTTTCTCGCACCGAGTAGTGGATTATTGGAATTCCCTACCGGAACACGTAACATTGACACCTGTCGATATATTCAAAACAATTGTTTTGAATCTTAAGATTGGACCTCCACAATATTACAAACTGCAAGGATTAATATAGGTCGATAGACCTCCTATCCTTATTACTGAAGGCTGAAATATTGACTATCTTGGTATCGTTAATAAGCTTCGGCGGTATTCTAAAAGTCCATCTGTACGTTATTCCGGCAGCGCTCCAGGGGTATCGCGACACTTTTTTGCGCTACTTTTTTATTTCTGCTTTGTGCACAACGAAATTTCGAAATACATTATGAATAAATTTGAAAGTTTATTTTCCGTTTTCATAATTAGGTAAAAAGGGGTTTTTCCATTTTGCGTTACATGGTATCGCGAAGTCCTTGAAAATTCACTATTCAAGTGCTGCTATAATAGTTTTTCGGTGTTCGCATCGCAGATTAGCAATTATTTCTACTTAGGTATACACTGATAGTAGACAATTCTTTTATTTTTATATGAAATAGCAAGATTCAGACATATATCGTCATAAAAATTATATTGTCGTCAAGGCTACCAAAACTGCGTTACAACTAACGATACCATGGTAAGATTTATCGTTTTTCCTATCTTTATCACAATTTCTGCTGATTTTCACTGTTTTGTTCGACTTTTATGGCAGAAATAGGTTTATAGTGAAAACATAAGGTGTCCTGAGTGTTATAAATATTATGTATATGTTGTCCAGCGCACGAAGAACCAGGTTCATTATGTATTTTCTTGTCCACTTGTTGCTATGTCGAAATAAGTCTACAAAACATGTAAAGATAAAGGATTACACATACCTCCACGAATCAGATCTTTAGAATGTGCATACAAAATATGACCACAGGGCAGCATGTAGTCATTGAAACGCAATATTTCGACCTAAAGGATAAATTCATTTGAAGTAAGGTATACGTAGATGACCGACGTCGTCTCCTTTGCCTAGGTTGTGTTGGCGAGTTAGAAGTTGTATGCTCTTCAGAAGAATGATTATTACTATCATCATCTACATCCTGAACGCAAGCATCTGACTCTAACGAACTGCGTTTACGTCCATATGTACAGACATAACTCACGAAAAAGTACTTTAGAGTTGGATCATCACTGTTCTCTTTGCATACTGACATAACGTACTTAGTATGCGTATACTAAAAAAATATATTATTAACCACAGAAGTCATATTACCTATATTATGCATCATCACGATGGCATCGTCTTCGTTACTTGAAGAATGAACGTTACTAGACATGATGTGGCTGAACTCAATTCAAATCTAAAAATGTCTTGATTTGACCGCTTCTGAAAATTTTCACGAATTGTCGATGTGACGCACCAATCAGTTTGCGACAGTTTGACCTTCAAGTGCTCGCAACTCCCATCAGTGGACGATACCCTAGGAACGTTGCCTACGTGCTACACACCTGAAGTCGCTCTGTGCTTGTGGTTGCTTAACAAATTAAGACGCTCATAGCCTATCAGAGGTATGTTTTCATATTTTACCAATAACCATATTCACTAAGTCAAGCCTTCCCAACCAAGTTATCCAACTTTGTTACGCAGATAAGGGACAGGAAAACCATCGTTTTCAGACCCATAACTGTTTATGTCAGCTAAAACAATCCTGCTGTAGTTATCTGTAATACGAATAGCGCGATGAATAGACTCCAACGATTTTTGGATGAAAATGTAGAAGCTATAAGAGTAAGACCAGATTCTTGTACTAAATAATCCAGTTATTACCTACAACGTTCTTCGTAATTGGAGTATATCTTCTCGGGAGGCATTTTTATATCGTAAATAAAGCTGGTTCATGCGTATATTCATTCAGTTTACTAAGTTTAACTCCATCCACTCGATTCCATTTGTTGTATACAGTCGCCAGATACATCTAAAAGGTTTAGTTAAATCTATAAGTCCTACAGGTGAATTGGAGATCTTACATGTGCCTAAGGTTAAACTGCCTTTCCGAGTCCCTTATGGTACGTTGTTTTTAAGAAAATTACATTATAGGTAATGCCATAAAGATTTCTATTCCTGTGCAGCATTCCGGTCAAAGTATACAATGGTTGAAGCAAAATATACACCCAGGTGAACGTGTCGTTTTCATCCCTGTAAAACCAATTTTCGAGAATGCAGAACTACTGGCTATAATATACAAACGAGTAACTTACTATTTTTGTTTTAGTGGCAGTGGTATTTTTTAAAAAAAGATATATCTTACCACCTATTAGTCAATGGAATAACCAACCACAAAAGCTTCAATGATTTACCAGATAACTTTCGCAATAAGTACTCCTCGGCTATATCGAAAGCAATTCGAATGAAACGGGGTATTTGGCAAGAAGACTATAATGTGTGGAAATCTTGTAAATTATTTTTCCAAAAGATAAAACATCTCGTAAACTTGTAAAACTGACGATTTAATCTTGTTAATATACAGTTTCTATTTTACTTTTCTAATTATGGTGTAACATGTTGAACAGTGTGAGTAGTTGTTATTTTCACGATTTAAAACATAAATAAGCAAAATCAAGAGGCCGAAATGTTAAAGTTAGTATTGTAACACATTTTTACGTAAAACGTCACCTTACATTCTAATGTTTATGCTAAAACTAGGAAGTTATAGTGAGTCTACTTGGTGCGCGTCTAATAATATGTATACAAAGTATCGAAAAATTGTACACCTTGGGTAGGGACTTATTGAAGTCATCTTTACTTTAATTATGTAGTTCAGCATTTTTACTTAGAATGCATATTTTGCACGAGCAATCAGTTTGTAAAAAGTAGTCCTAAATAATCGGATTTAGGGAGTTATTCTAAGGGTCTTGTATTCATACAGCAGACCCTGAACACTATTTTGAATAAAAACTAATCTCACGAAATAAGAGTTGAATATCACTTCCAGGCAAGTTCATCGTACCAGTGAGCAAACAGGATATTCATTTTTCGATAAAGTCGATATTTTTATCACCCAGACTGTTGTTGGTAGCCGCATAGGATAATTTGCGAATACCTTCGCTTTATGTGTTTTCACAAACTCGTCCAAGTAGGCAGAACACTTGGTTATTGAATGCTACTCAATTTAACATTCTGGGGGCTAATGCTTTAATCTCGTGTTTAAATATAATAGCCAGGCATTGAGTTAGTGTAAATCAAAAGAATGAGTCACATATTTTATTATTCTGGCAGGACTGACCTCCATGATTAAGAGGTTGGAGATTTGAAGCTTGACTAATCAACGGAACATAGAATCAGAATATTAAGGGCGTTAGTGCAAAACCTGATTGCAGAAGACCAAGGATAGTATTACATAGGCTCGTTTTTAGTTATAAAGTAAATGGTCGTACGAGTAGTCATTCAAGTTGTCGACATGAAAACAATAAACGTAAGAGGGACTCAAAGGATGAAGATGGCTTCTGACGAGCGATACGAGCTTTAAAACTTTTTGGGGCGTGCAAGCAGGTAATATTTTGCAACTGTTCGTAGATGAAACTTTCCACCCTTAAAACTGATAATGAAACTGCGACCAGCAAAATAAGTATTTGAGAGAAATATTTAACTGTATATTTTGTATCACTACTGAAATCAATATTTGGAAAAATAAAATAAAAAACAATATTTTGGTTGGTTACAAGAAAATTATCAAAAATATACTAAAATATCAGGAGAAATATACAGTAGGTTTACAAAAACCACCTTATTTAGAAATCGGGTTTACAAGATGTAAATTTCCGATAGTATGATAGAAACCATCATCATCACGGTGTCTTCCGATTGCACACAGGTAAATTGAATCTAGGATGAATACTCCAAACTCCGTATCTAAAAATTCACCATACAGATTGGGGTCGATTTTGTTCGTACCAACTTTTTTTGATACTGAACGATTCATCTGAAATTGGGAATATATAACTAACCGTACTTTCTCTAAAAACAACCAGTGGTCACGTAATTACAATGATAATATGATAACTAAAAGTATCTAGTATTGCTGACCAATGGGTTGAGTAAAAACAATGGCCATGTCTGGTGTGAGATTTTCGGAGCAAGTCAGTTTCTTCATTGTTGTCAATCATTAATAACATCCGAAACCCGGCGAGACTCATACTTTCAGCTGCTACTAACTATCAACAAGAGTAATAACTAATTAGCAAGCTTCAGAACTTAGATGATCAGGAAGATCACTAATGGGAATGAAAAAATACAACAGAAAAGATCTGCAATGTCTTCTGTAACCGTTTAGAGAACTAACACTGTGGCATTTTACTTGCAATTAAGTGTAAACCCACTTATTGTTAGTAACACAATCACTGGGAGGTTTACTGCGCAGAAGGTAATCTCAGTCAATCAGCTACAACGTAGGACCAGGCTCATATATGCATCGGTCCAAGTTGTTACACCGCATTAGCACAGCAAGATGAACATCAAATCAATGGAAGTAATATATAAAAAAAAGATTGTGTATGAGGATATAATACAAGAAAAAAGAATTAGTTCGTAGGAAGAAAGATATAAATCGATTTTAATCTCACGGTTTAAGGGAAGACAAAGAGTGTACACACCTACGCTATTGTGATCGATTTTGAGCCATGTCACCCAGTCTCCAACCATTGGTTACGATAGTCTCGCGGACACCAAGTAACCAGACAGTTGCTGCTACCTTGACATGGTGATCGGGCTTGCCTGTTGTGATGAAGCAATCGAGCCATACTGGCTGGAACAATCGTTTCCCCAGGGTCCTACCATGCCAGACAGGTCGATTGAAGAGCGGTAAGACCAAAAGCAGCAAACTTAAGGTCTGAGGGCGAAGTTGTACAGAGGTGTGACGGCAGTAATGTGTTCCCTTCAGACAACCAGCATAACGACGATTCTGCCTTCCCACAAGGAGGAGTGGGGTTAGAAAAGCTCGACTCTAGAAATACACACCTCGCCTTATCCCGCAGATTTCCGTCTTTACCGATAAGGTCCCAACAAGTGCGGAACTAACACGAAAACTAGTCGCAATAAGGTCGTGTGTGGCCGACCTCAAGCAGTTTTCCCTTGGGCATTACGATCAAGCTTTCAGGTTACTAAGACTACCTCTAACTCAATTTGCTTTTCAGATACCTCTAGAGGAACTCTCCCATGGTGTGAACAACCAGGAAGCGTCAACCGCACTCATACCTCTAACAGCAGTCTAGATCACTGTATTCATAATCAATCTCCTTTAATTTCTATTGTTTCTCTTACATTGACTTTCAGTTCTAAACTTCCTCTTTTGGCTTCCTCCTCAAATGTCACCATAGCCAACTATTCTAGTGTGCAAAAGACTGTCCCAGGTCTACTGAAACCGCGAGGCTGCAACGTGCGTCAGCAGGCCTCCTTGGCTAAAACACTAGAATCTCGTACCATTGGTGTATACTGTGTCCCCGAAACACTCATATATGATCCTAGTGTGGTCATTCACTTGACCTCACCTCGGCAACACGGAGAGCCAACGAGATATACCCTCCGTGTATCTGGTGACCCTATGGCCAGTTCTCGTGGACTGGCAGGTGTAGACATAGCACTAAGCATGAGGGCGGAACAAGCACTGCTAGAGTGGATCCCCGTTAACAGTCGTTTATGTGCTGTTTGGCTAAACGGCTCCGTAAGAACTCGGAAGGATAGGGACACACGTCGTTGCCCTTTTGTCGTTTCTACCTACGCTCCCACCGACTGCAGCCCGGATGAAGTGAAAGATGAATTTTACAGAAAGCTATCTGAACTTCAGAAAGTTAAACGTTCAGATATAGTACTCGTAGCAGGTAACTTTAATGCCCAGATAAGTAGTTTAAATCAAACAGAAAAGCATTTAGGTGGGTATTTTGATATCCCGGTGATCGTCTGCTGCAAGTGTGCTCATACAATCGTTTATTTTTAGCAAACACTAATTTTATGCATAAGGAGAAGTCGTCTAAAATGGCGACCCCCAGCACCAAACTAACGATGAACTCAAATAGATCATATTGCCATCAGTCATCGTTGGGGAGGCTCAATAGAAGACTCTCGCTCGTTCTGGAATACGTGTTTGGACTCCGATCATGACCTAATATGAGCACACATTCGCTTGCACCTCACTGGACGCAGAAAAGCCACACTAAGACCCACTAGAATTGAGTTGAGTGATGAGAAAGTAGATTCCGGGAACAACTGAGGTCACACTTCGGTAGTTCTGAAAACGAGGCTGACCCAGATGTTGCTTGAAAAGATACAAATAGCTGTGGAAACAGAAGCGACATATGTTGTTGATTTAAACCAAAGGGTTACCAAAAACCAGTGGATTTCTACTAAGTCTACTGCACTGATGGATTCTCGTAAACTCATCCCATTAGGCTCTGAACACGATGAAGAACGAAAACAAATCAGATCTAGGTTAACCAAAAGTCTAAGGAACGACCCGTGAGCAGTAGTGGGAAAAGAAATCAAGAGAGATAGAAGCCGAATAACTCAAGAAGTACCAGAAAACCTGACCCAACATTATTTCGTGTGGGAGGAGAAAGTCAGAGTCTAAACTTCAAAACAGAGGTGTTATGGCGGGATGAAAGGTCAAAATTTGACTGATTTATTCATTATGATTTTTATTCAACATTAATTCCGTTTAATTCAAATTGATCACTTAGTATAGTATTTTTTCGTCTTCCCCTATGACATTTTATTCTGTGTAGCATATGATATTCTTGTATGAAATATTATTCATATATGTTATTTATTCTGATTATTAATCAAAAATGGGTGTGCAAACTAATATATAAATGAGTTTATTTCCGACTAGACTGGTTGGGATCGCTCGTGCTTCTGGATACTTGCGGAATATACTTCCCATTCCAAACTTCTACTTCTCTCTCTAGTTAGCGGGGCCGGAACGCATATATAAGGGCTATATATATAAGGGCGGCCTGCTTGAGCATCTGGGCTACCTGTTCCTGCCATCTAGATATTTCAACAAGTTATCTATTGTTGTTTGTTTTAATATATCATTATGTTTATTAATCGCATAACCTATTCTGCTGCGTTTCTGAAAAGTGTACAACCTTTCGTTGTCAAAGTTACAGAAAATTCAATAAGAGACAATATGGTTGCTGGCAATGTACAACGAAAAGAATGTACATTATTCAGTTGTTCATTCACTGAAGTGCTAACATCTAACTGGCGATTCCTCAATATTTATCGCCAGGACCGACCAAGAAGAAAGAAACGGAAACTTGTTGAAATACTTTGCGCTGAGAATTCTATAGTGTACCAAAATTATAATATTGAATAAAGCTAATAATAATAAAATAAATAGAACAGCTAGCTTATTGGTCTTTGTTCCGTTCGCAGACTAGGTGAACTCGTAATCGCTTCAAGCATAGCAATAACACAAGACAGCTTTTCAGATTAATAAAAGAGACTGGAATTAAGAAGTCAACATGGCTCACACTACCAGATTCCCAACCTCATCAACTGATTTACTATCATCCCCTAATATCCTATGTCTAACCTCACTATTATTCACCCGGTGACCCCAGCAGATGCGAGCAATATTTCTAAGACATTTGTGACCAAATACCGGTCGAACGTCATTGGCTTGGCACAATGTCAAGACTGTATAAGTCGTATTTCGATTGGCAGTAAACCACGTGATAACTAGCAGGGTTTAAGGTCACAATAGTAGCAGCAACAGTCGGGAAAGATAGTCTCAAGATATGCCTTTGTCAAAGTATATGTTAAAATTAGCAATTCATTCACTGACATCCTGAATTTAACTTTCTGTACCTGGGTGTCTTAAATAGTAACTTTGATTTGATGAATAAGATATTAATTAATAGAAATTGACCTGATATAAATTGATACAAGTTCTTTGTGACAACTTAAGCAAAAGCCTATAGGTGTTTAGTCAATCAATTTTATACTCAGTGTTAATATTAGATACATGTAAACTCTACATCAACAAAAGCATACCCATTTGTAATGTCACGGTTCACTATGGCCCGTCATTTTATTTATTTGTTTGAACACATAAATATTGGTACAAGGGGGGACCAAATATATATGCGCCACACAAAGCAGTGAGAATGGGGAGAAAAAAAGAGCGTAAAACAAAAAAGAAGAACAATAACCACCAGATAAGTGTGAAAAAGTGTAATAATAATAATAATGAGGGAAACGATAAGGCACAACCAGAAGAAATCTTTCAGGTAAGGGAGACAGAACCACTTTTTATGAAGAAAGTAAAAGAAGGTTACAGCAGGATCGCCACTGGTTTCTATTATGAGCCATATCTGATAACGTCTCTAGCCACTGTGTAGCACCATCTCTCAGACCCCAACCAGGGAGTCGTGAAGAACCAACACAAGCCAGTCCTTTGCAGCTTTCATACCCCGACACTATGTCGTATACTGACCACCTCTCCGCTTCTTCCAACCAGTCCCAGAGTCGGCAAATAATGCACGACGTGGAATCCCCTGGGACGACATTCGGAGAACATGTCCAAGCCACCGAAGTCGGTGTTTCAAGATGGTGACACCAATTGAATTATCATCTCTGTGCCCGAACACACGATGCCGAACCTCTGCATTACTGACATGGTGTTGCCACTGAATGTCAGCAATCCTTCGGAGACAGCGATGATCGAACACAGAGAGTCGTCTAACGTCCTCAACTCGGAGGGACCAGGTTTCACAAGCATAGAGCAAAACTGCTCTCACCGACGCGTTGTAGATCCGACCTTTTACGGCCAGACTAACATCACGAAGGCGCCATAGATGGCCCAGATTGGCATAAGCCGCTCTGGCTTTCACTATACGTGCATTGATCTCATCACTCACACCCCCACCAGCACTTATGCAGCTACCCAGATACACGAACTTCTCGACTACGTCTATCTGCTCACCATCCAGGGTGAGTACAGGATTGGAATCCTGCCAGTCTTGTAGGAGTACTTTGCACTTCGAAGGTGCAAAGCACATACCATACCTACGGACATTGATTGCCAACTGATTAAGTGCGGATTGCATGCCTTGGGCATTATCGCACAGTAAGACAATATCGTCCGCATACTCAAGGTCGAGAAGTCTTTCTCCAGGCAACAGATCCACACCACCATTACTTACATCCATCAGAGCTGTTTCCAGAATGTCATCGATGGCAAAGTTGAAGAGGAATGGTGAGATTGGGCAACCCTGCCTAACCCCACTACTCGAATGGAACAATGGAGAGAGGTGGTTGTATGCCCTCACTCTACCTGAGGTGTTTGAATATAGGGCCTTTAAGATGTTAATGAACTTCTCATGCACACCCTTCTTCAATAGACAATCCCAGAGAACAGTCCTGTCCAACGAATCGAAGGCAGCCCTGATGTCAAGAAACACTTCAACTGTTGGCCTTTATTAAGTATGACAGTGTTCTGACAGTTGGTGGAGGGTGAAGATATGATCAATATATCCTCGACCAGAACGAAAACCAGCCTGCTCTTCGCGAGTCAATCTTTCTCAGGTTTTGAACAACCTACGAAGTATGACGGAAGCCAATAGCTTGGACGCAATCGGAAGTAGACTTGTCCCCCGATAGTTGTTACAGGAACGACATGAACCCTTTTTAAAGATAGGGACAATTATCGACTCATTCCATGACGTTGGCACACTCTCTAGCTCCCAAACCTTTGTAAACAACGTCGTCAATTCCTTAGTCAAAAAGTCACCACCATCTTTAAAAAGAGCCGGAGGTAAGTCATCTGAGCCAGGTGATTTGTAGCGCTTCAAGAGTTGGAGTTCCTTGCGGACTTCCGCCTCATTTAGTGGATCAGTCGTCACCGGCCATAGAGGGCAGGACAGTCTGACCGGTGTTGCCGGAGCAGCAGGCCAGTTGAACTGCCCTTCGAAGAATTCCACCCATCTTCCAAGACGTCGATGGATTTTAGTGATTGGCATCCCGTCATCCTCGCAGATTGTTCCGCTCATACCAGACGTCTTGCTGCCAGTGGCTCGGATGAGCTGGAAGAGCTTCCGGTAATTACCAGATGCAGCTGCTGCTTCCAGCTCATTAGCACGCTTCGACCACCAGGCTTCTCGGTCCTTACGCAAGCTTTGCCCAATTTCCTTACATAACATCCTTCGTTTATGGTCAAACTCACGGTCACCCGGAGTAGACCGACGGGCTTCAATGAGTTGTAAGGAACCAGAAGAAACCCAGTGCTTAAAAGCGGGACGTTTCGCAAACCCACAACTGAGTGTTCCCGCCATTTTCATGGCGTCATGCAATTGCAACCAATGCTCATCTATACTTTTCAGTGGAGTGGTAGCTAGCCTAGAGGCTAGCTCGGTTCGATACTTATTTGCAACAGAAGTTGCAACCAGCTTGCTAACATCAATCTTTTGGTGGTGGTCACTTCGCTGGCCACTGAAAAGTAAGGCAAGATTGGCGCAGACCAAGGCATGGTCAGAGTCCAGATAGGTACTCCAAAAGGAGCGGCAGTCTTTTACACAACCACGCCAGCGGTAGCTGATCGCGATGTGATCAATCTGAGTCCAGGCTTGGGATGCAGAGGGAGGACGCCAGGTGGCACATCGGCGATGACTGTGCCGAAAGTTAGTGCTAGCCAGAAACAGGTTGTGGTCTGTGCACAGTTGCAGTAGACGGTCCCCGTTATCTGCCCTGCGACCAACAAGTCCCCATCGGCCACATAAACGATTCTCTTCTGTGCCAATTATGATGAAATGTCTGCACCTAGACGCCCGAGCTGAGCATTCAAGTCTCCGGCTAGTACTACAATATCTGTCGAACCCATTTTCTAGAGCAGAACAGTTAACTGGTAGTAGAATTCATCCTTGATTGCATCCGGGCTGCAATCTGTCTGGGCATAAGCGGAGATGACGAAAAGACATCGTTTCTCACACCGATTTTTTTCACTTTGATGGAACTTTTTAATCTAACAGCACATAACCGACTGTTAATGGGGATCCAATCGATTAGTGCTGCCTCAGCTCTAGCGCTTAGTGCGACAACAACGCCAGCCAGACCAGACGAAGTTGCCACAGGGTCTTCGTATAAACGCACGTAAAACAAGCTTTTCGAAGCGACAGATGTAGAGCGAATTTGTAGTACTTCACCAGAGTATTGACGTCATTTAATTATTTTGACCAGTTTGCCAAAAAGCACCTGGAATTAGTCTGGAAATCTCAATATGCACACAACTTAAGCGCAAAAACTTTAGCAGACTTTAAGGAAGATTAAAATGAAAGTAAATAGCACGAATGAACTAGATTAAATTAAATGGTTATTCAGTGACAATGGGATAATTTAATTATCTAAATGGTTATGATTAAATTGTACATTACTGAACACACGTAGGTGGGTTATTATTCATTCTCAGGGATTGTTTAAAATGAGATCTTTTAAAAACAAAACTAAACCTACCTTCATCAGAGAGATATGAGGTTTGAACTTTTTCTGATCATCTGTATGGAATCCGGCCACATGTAGAATCTGATTTAGCTGATCGACAAAGAAATGCAATGTTTCATTAGATTCAACTGCTGCATATAAAACTCGACCGTGGAAGTTACCCACACCTTTTATTGTTAATTGGTTTGTTGGAACAGATCTGCAAAGCTCTGTTTCCGCCTGTTTGAGGGCTTCCATGCACTCAGATATCTACAAAATGTGAAACGAAGTTTACTAAGATGGTCAAAAAGTAAGCTTAGGTCTAGTGGAAAAATGACAAATGTCACTTTAACACAATAAGTCATTGCACTTACAACAACACCGAAAATTATTACTGTTACAAAGAGTACTTTTACTCTTTGTTTAGTTAACCGACTCATATACACTCAAACGTGTAAAAGTGTAGTGTAGATCGATGGCAATAAAATTATGTGCATTACAAAACATGCGTGATAACGGTGTTGTTTTCAATCGGGTTTCATTAAGTTCTACTCTGCAGTTTTGTTTATATCTACGTACGAACACTATTAGACTAATCGAACCAATTTGTTAGTTATTGATAACAATAAAGTAGATTACACAAATGATTATTTAATAAAAATAAAATACTGATAGAAAGATGGTGTAGTAGTGGAAACAAGTCATAAAGCGTGACAACAGCAAAAAATATATTAGCTTAAGAATTACGTCCAGACTTGGGAAAATAGAATTTCTATATAGCTAACTTTAAGTAACTAACAGTTATTTTCAAACAAACATCAGAAGTGCTATGCATTTTTAAACTTTAAAATTTCCAAAATATTTAAGAATGGAAAGTATTTCATACGGACACTGAAACATATGCTTTTATAGTATGGAATAATAGTTGAGGGGTGTCGCAGGCGGTGAATATTTATTATTTATTTATTTATTTGGACACATGAATATTGGTACAAGGGGGGACCAAATATATATGCGCCACACAAAACAATGAAAATTCGAGAGGAATACAACGAAAGAAAAAAAAAGCTAAGGAGCGCAACAAAAAAAAGAGAGAACAATAACGAAGAGATTGGTGTAAGGTAATGTGCTAGTAATCAGGGAACGCAAAGGTACAATCGGAAGAAATCTTTCAGGTAAGGGAGACAGAACCACTTTTTATGAAGAAAGTAAAAGAAGGTTACAGCAGGATCGCCACTGGTTTCTATTATGAGCCATATCTGATAACGTCTCTAGCCACTGTGTAGCACCATCTCTCAGACCCCAACCAGGGAGTCGTGAAGAACCAACACAAGCCAGTCCTTTGCAGCTTTCATACCCCGACACTATGTCGTATACTGACCACCTCTCCGCTTCTTCCAACCAGTCCCAGAGTCGGCAAATAATGCACGACGTGGAATCCCCTGGGACGACATTCGGAGAACATGTCCAAGCCACCGAAGTCGGTGTTTCAAGATGGTGACACCAATTGAATTATCATCTCTGTGCCCGAACACACGATGCCGAACCTCTGCATTACTGACATGGTGTTGCCACTGAATGTCAGCAATCCTTCGGAGACAGCGATGATCGAACACAGAGAGTCGTCTAACGTCCTCAACTCGGAGGGACCAGGTTTCACAAGCATAGAGCAAAACTGCTCTCACCGACGCGTTGTAGATCCGACCTTTTACGGCCAGACTAACATCACGAAGGCGCCATAGATGGCCCAGATTGGCATAAGCCGCTCTGGCTTTCACTATACGTGCATTGATCTCATCACTCACACCCCCACCAGCACTTATGCAGCTACCCAGATACACGAACTTCTCGACTACGTCTATCTGCTCACCATCCAGGGTGAGTACAGGATTGGAATCCTGCCAGTCTTGTAGGAGTACTTTGCACTTCGAAGGTGCAAAGCACATACCGTACATACGGACACTGATTGCCAACTGATTAAGTGCGGATTGCATGCCTTGGGCATTATCGCACAGTAAGACAATATCGTCCGCATACTCAAGGTCGAGAAGTCTTTCTCCAGACAACAGATCCACACCACCATTACTTACATCCATCAGAGCTGTTTCCAGAATGTCATCGATGGCAAAGTTGAAGAGGAATGGTGAGATTGGGCAACCCTGCCTAACCCCACTACTCGAATGGAACAATGGAGAGAGGTGGTTGTATGCCCTCACTCTACCTGAGGTGTTTGAATATAGGGCCTTTAAGATGTTAATGAACTTCTCATGCACACCCTTCTTCAATAGACAATCCCAGAGAACAGTCCTGTCCAACGAATCGAAGGCAGCCCTGATGTCAAGAAACACTTCAACTGTTGGCCTTTATTAAGTATGACAGTGTTCTGACAGTTGGTGGAGGGTGAAGATATGATCAATATATCCTCGACCAGAACGAAAACCAGCCTGCTCTTCGCGAGTCAATCTTTCTCAGGTTTTGAACAACCTACGAAGTATGACGGAAGCCAATAGCTTGGACGCAATCGGAAGTAGACTTGTCCCCCGATAGTTGTTACAGGAACGACGTGAACCCTTTTTAAAGATAGGGACAATTATCGACTCATTCCATGACGTTGGCACACTCTCTAGTTCCCAAACCTTTGTAAACAACGTCGTCAATTCCTTAGTCAAAAAGTCACCACCATCTTTAAAAAGAGCCGGAGGTAAGTCATCTGAGCCAGGTGATTTGTAGCGCTTCAAGAGTTGGAGTTCCTTGCGGACTTCCGCCTCATTTAGTGGATCAGTCGTCACCGGCCATAGAGGGCAGGACAGTCTGACCGGTGTTGCCGGAGCAGCAGGCCAGTTGAACTGCCCTTCGAAGAATTCCACCCATCTTCCAAGACGTCGATGGATTTTAGTGATTGGCATCCCGTCATCCTCGCAGATTGTTCCGCTCATACCAGACGTCTTGCTGCCAGTGGCTCGGATGAGCTGGAAGAGCTTCCGGTAATTACCAGATGCAGCTGCTGCTTCCAGCTCATTAGCACGCTTCGACCACCAGGCTTCTCGGTCCTTACGCAAGCTTTGCCCAATTTCCTTACATAACATCCTTCGTTTATGGTCAAACTCACGGTCACCCGGAGTAGACCGACGGGCTTCAATGAGTTGTAAGGAACCAGAAGAAACCCAGTGCTTAAAAGCGGGACGTTTCGCAAACCCACAACTGAGTGTTCCCGCCATTTTCATGGCGTCATGCAATTGCAACCAATGCTCATCTATACTTTTCAGTGGAGTGGTAGCTAGCCTAGAGGCTAGCTCGGTTCGATACTTATTTGCAACAGAAGTTGCAACCAGCTTGCTAACATCAATCTTTTGGTGGTGGTCACTTCGCTGGCCACTGAAAAGTAAGGCAAGATTGGCGCAGACCAAGGCATGGTCAGAGTCCAGATAGGTACTCCAAAAGGAGCGGCAGTCTTTTACACAACCACGCCAGCGGTAGCTGATCGCGATGTGATCAATCTGAGTCCAGGCTTGGGATGCAGAGGGAGGACGCCAGGTGGCACATCGGCGATGACTGTGCCGAAAGTTAGTGCTAGCCAGAAACAGGTTGTGGTCTGTGCACAGTTGCAGTAGACGGTCCCCGTTATCTGCCCTGCGACCAACAAGTCCCCATCGGCCACATAAACGATTCTCTTCTGTGCCAATTATGATGAAATGTCTGCACCTAGACGCCCGAGCTGAGCATTCAAGTCTCCGGCTAGTACTACAATATCTGTCGAACCCATTTTCTAGAGCAGAACAGTTAACTGGTAGTAGAATTCATCCTTGATTGCATCCGGGCTGCAATCTGTCTGGGCATAAGCGGAGATGACGAAAAGACATCGTTTCTCACACCGATTTTTTTCACTTTGATGGAACTTTTTAATCTAACAGCACATAACCGACTGTTAATGGGGATCCAATCGACTAGTGCTGCCTCAGCTCTAGCGCTTAGTGCGACACCAACGCCAGCCAGACCAGACGAAGATGCCACAGGGTCCCCGGATAAGCGCACGTAAAACAAGCTTTTTGAAGTGACAGATGTAGAGCGAATTTGTAGTACTTCGCTAGAGTCTTGAATACGGGTCTCGGATAGACAACAAACATCAATATTAAGACTTTCCAAAGACATAGCCAGCCCTATCTGTTGACCAACCTGCATAAGTGTGCGAACGTTGAAGGCAGCCAGTTTGAATGGCGCACGTGGTTTCAGAAAAACTGCTTCAGTACTCATATTCGATGGTAACATACAACTTTCAACCGGACAGTGACTCGAGAACGTTTAGATACAGTCGGATTTCCACCAAAGACGAGCCGCTGTATAAGTATAAAAGAGGGTGAATAATGTGGGAAATAATAATAATAATAATAACGACGATAATAGTAATAATAATAGTATTAATAATGACAATAATAGTAACGATAATTATTTGAATCGACTGATTGTTTTTCGGAGCGATAAAAGTAGTTGCCAAAGACATAGAGTTCATCGTTTGTGTGTGGGATGTGATACTGCCCGGGCGCCCAAACCGAAGTAGGTGGTTTTCTTAGGGGGCCACTCCCCGAACCTTTGACCTAAAGGTCTAACCCACAAGGCAGTGGAGCATCGTAAGAAGATGCAATCCCATGGTAGCCGGTGATCAAAGATTGGTTCATACGCCATTTGTTCCCGCAGGATACTGGAGCCCATGTGCACCATTTGTTTGTGATCCGGTTAAAGCGCCGGACATTCGCTTTTCGTCCTCTCATTTTCGTAAACAACACCCCCGCCACGAGAACGCAATGAGTAGGACTTCCCTGTCAGAGGCTGTATACGCGCGGCCGTGTGAGAGTATTTCGAGAGGGAGAGCGGACTCACCCCACTCTCGGCCGTACCAGGGCATTCGGGGGCAGGCGGTGAATATGATCTTTACGACTGGATTACTATGGAGGACGAACGGATATGTAGTTTGGTTGTAATCAACGACTTATATCACAGAATAATTGCACCTAAATAGTGTCACAGAAGTTCGAAATTCACGAAAAACATAACAGGATCAATCACTATTAGCTCATAATCAGTTTGTCTAGAGACAGTCAAAATTAATTGATGATATACTTTCTAGTTTAATGTAACGAATGTAATGATTCAAGGCATTTTATTTAAATTATGTACTAAAGTTCCAATACAGCTTTAAAACAAGTCTCATTCAAAACTGAAATACTCACTAAAAATCTACTTGCTTACTTGCAAACTACCTTCCAGTCGTAATGTTGACAGTGTAAGATGAAATAGTTTTGAGTCAATACAACAATCTTTATAGTACGGTTGAGTGTCACAAATTCTTGACTGAACCTTTAACGCTTTTTCTATGAAATCAGGAGATGCGACTCGCTGACAAATGAAGAAATTCGGCTTATTTTTTATTCTTTGCTTGATCGTCTCGTTTAACGACACTTCTGTTTGACTTTCCGATGAGCAGGTATCTTCTGCAACCTTTGTATTCCACTTCAAAAAAACATTATCAAATACGTTGCTGAGCTGAACATCAGGAATATCTCGAAAAGTCTTACAATACTTTTCATAGTTTTCTATTACATCTCGTATTGTCTTAGTTGAACGGCTACTACCGAAAACTCTATCTATTCTGAAACGTTTATCCCATACAACTATATCCTTGTATTTAAAGTACTGAATTCGATGTTCGGGTACACCAAAAGTGAAATAATCTAAACTATCTAGTGGTTCCCACGAAAAATCATCGAAAGGTTTTTCTAGAATCCCCTTAAACCTATCCAAATATCCAATTGTTATAAATTTCTGAGGAATCTTTTCATCCCATAAAACACGTTTTACAACGTCTCCGGCGGTTCTCATTGGACACTTCTTGGAATCGCCTTTCTTAAATAACATCGCTTTGTACTCGTTATATAGGAAAGTTGTACAATCAGACAAGTCTCCACTAAAACCGAATGATATAAACAGGTTTATAGGGAAAAAATAGAATTATGAATGAAATAAGCTGTGGTTTTTGCAATAAATTTACTTTCTAAAACTTAAAAGTTGCCTATTTTTCTGCTCTATCTATTTTCCGCTAAATACCTTTGACGTCCGCCATTATTTCTTCAGTGAAACCGACTTTTCCAAGCAGTCAATACGATTCAGGAGGACGACTGATGCATGAAAAACTATTTATTCACAGGAATTTGAACCCGTTCCTAAAATTATTAACGTTAGGGTACCAGCCAAACACGATTTATCTTCAGTTCTGTAAATTAACAAGCATAAATGAAATTTCATCCTAATTTGCATCATTCATGAATGATCTCAAACCTGGCAGTTGCCGATAAATACTTCCAAGTGTACTGTGATGCATAGAATTATGGTCTATGATATTAGTACTGCTCTAATAATAGACCTAATCCTAACAGCAATTAAGCTGATTCCTGGTATGATGCTTGACTGGCCAAGCTTAACCTAGTCCCGTTTTTATACCGTCGACTCTTTCGAAACTCACTCATCTATTTAGATAAATAGCGTTTGGGCATTTTAGCTCACGTCAGTTCGTGATGGATTAGACATAGATTTTAAACCTTACACGTCAACCAAAAATCATAATTCTTATTTATCCCACTGGTTCATAGCCCTTATTCAAACCTACTTAATAGGTGGATATTCTTCATATAGTTTTAGCGTTGATCGAAGGTCATCTATAAATCACAGTCTCACCAAATGCAGCAAGTCCAGGATGATCAAACTAGCTTCCGCGACCTTGAGAGGGTTTGTTTGAGGCGGACATTTCCTATTTCAAGTACTCTTTGTTGGTAGAGTGTTAGCTTGCATTAGTTTGTAGCGTTTGTTTAGTTAAATAGTCTAGTTGCGTCTGAAAACGTAATTTTAAATCATTTCGAGTGTGTTGTAATTGCTTTCAGTTTCTGTTTGGGAAGGACAGGAGGCCTGATGACCTGTGTTAGTCCTGGCAATGGTGGTCTCTCAGTTGATCCAACTTTATTTTGAAAGGTTCGACGGATGGAGCCTCAACCACGTGCTGAGGTAATGAGTTCCACTCGTTGATGATTCGATGGGAATGTCGATAGTCAGATGACAACTAATTTGTTCTTGGCTTGTGAACTTTTTGGAGTGTCCTTGTAAATTCTCTGTTTTGGAAGACAAGAAGAATGAGGGCATATCAAGTGCAAATTTGGCACTAAGCAATTTGAAAACTGTAATCACGTCGCCTCTAGTTCTGCGATATGACAACGGGAAAAGGTTCAGCTTGGCCAGTCGAGGTTCATACGGAAGCTTCGCTACTCCGGGAATCAGCCTAGTTGTTGTTCTCTGAGCCTTTTCCAGAAGCTCACTGTCTTGTTTTAGGCAGGGGCTGGCCGCTTGTATGCAGTACTCAAGTTTAGGACGTACGAACACTGTATACAAAGTCAAAAACGTCTTAGCGTCGACATGACTAAAAGCCCTACGTATTGACCATAAAGTTCTAAAACCTTTGGGGGCTATTGCACGGCAGCGTGCAGTAGTCTTGAAGTCTTGGCTAACGATGACTCGTAAGTGATTGTGCGTAGCTCAGTGTTATTTATCATGCATGTATCTGTACCTTGATGACTGATACGCATCGCAATACACTTGGAAGTATTTATCGGCAACTGCCAGGTTGGAGATCATTCAGATAATTTCTCCAGGTCGTTTTGGAGTTCTAAGCTATCACCCTTACGTCGTATCGCTCTCCATATCTTGACATCGTCAGCATATAGCAAGACCGATGATGATAGGAGACGAGGAAGGTCATTTACATACAAGAGGAATAGCACTGGCCCCAAAACTGTACCCTGGGGCACTCCACTAAGCACAGTTCCCCAGCTAGATAACTTTGAGTTCACCCGTACTCTTTGTTGGCGCCCAACTAGGAAGTCTTTTATCTACATTAACAGATTGTCTCCAATTCTAACATTCCTTAGCTTATATAACAGCCGGTTGTGCGGAACCTTGTCAAAAGCTTTGCTGAAATCAATGAAGGCCACGTCTTCACATAACTTTTGGTCTTAAAGAGCTCAACATCTTTCACAGGCCACTAATAAGTTAGTGAGACAAGAGTAACCTATTCTGAAACCGTGCTGCTTCTCCGAATGGATCCGGTTTTCATCGAGATACTTAAACAGCTCCTTCCGAATAATCTTTTCTAAGATTTCAACAACCGCACTACTTAGGCTTGTGGTGGCATTGGGACCTAATACAAGACAATGTGAGAAATAGACATCCAACATTCAACACGGAATAAAACTCAACGACGAAGAGGGCGGGAAGAATGAATTGAATTATTTGGAGGTGAGTGGATGTCATGGCTCGGCCATGCAGGCGTGGTCCCTGTGGAATGTAACCTTGGGCAGTTATATGATGACAAATCTACAATTATAGGATTAGGTCTATTATTAGAGCAGTACTTATATCATAGTAGACCATAATCCTACTGACTTACAAAGCTATTGATTTTGGGGATTTATGTACCCCTGCAACCCACGCCCTCGTATTTGTGTAGTGATGACCCTTAGACGTGGCCAACCAAAAGTCTACACACAACGAGTTTGTCGTTGGTAAACATTCTTCCTATAGCTTCATATGTTCAGCAGCGTCTGGTCGTCTTTTCTAACAATACAAGGGCCATGGGCTTCTATATAATAATGAAAACCAGGTACAATTGAAACTTCGATTCATCGTAAACTTCGTCGTATTTTTGTCTTTTCCAACTGTTCTGAAAAAGATAAAAAGGTCATGCAAGAGCATTTCGAATCATACTATACGTGCTTATAGATACAATACGGAAATATACTGATATACATTCGCATCGTATGCATACAATTGCGTGAAAACGATTTTCGCGTGAGTACTTTTGTAGAGTTATGGTCTACTATGATAGTAGTACTGCTCTAATAATAGACTCAATCCTATAATTGTAGATTTGTCATGATATAACTGCCTAATCTATAAAATCTTACGTGGAAGTCACATCATCGTCTACATCAACTCACTGCATCGTAGCAATTACCAATACATGATGTAGAACAAGGTTAGGCTAGAGATAGAACAATATATTTAATATAAATAAAAGAAATAAGGTAACATCCCACAGGGACCACGTCTGTATGACTGAGCCATGCCATCCGATCGAACCCAGTCCATTCAATTCATTGTTCGCGCCTTCTCCATTGTTAGGTATTTCTCCGTGTTAAATATTGAATATCTATTTTCTGAGTAGTCTTGTGTTCAGCTTTGAAGATTGTGTGGTTATGGTCCAATGCCACTACAAGCCTACTAATACAGATGCAATTGGAATTCAACACATATGGACAGGTTACCGGCATAATCCTTACTTGATTTTATAATTTAAACCAAAACTAATACTAATATTAACATTTCTACAATCTTGATTGCCTTTACTATTTCTAAACACAAAATACTTACTACCTATGAGTTAAGTTATTAACCAACAGCTATTAACACGCATCTTACGTTTTATTATTATTATTATTATTATTATTATTATTATTATTATTATAATCCCATTTTTACAGCCCAAATAGCCTTCATGCAAATTTTCATTTTGAGCGTGTTAAGCATGAAATCAAATACTTTAAAATTATTACATGTATTTCCCGACCAGATGCTGCCGCCTTTCTTTTTGATTTATCTTCCAGTTTATCAGTACCTGCAGGATTCTTATTATTTTGGTAACCACCGGCGCATGACGATTCCATCCAATTTGCTATAGAACCAACATATCGTTGATTCTGGTGGGAGAGTAGTTTAGTGGCATTGGACAATAGCCACACAATCCACAAAGCTGTGAACACGAGACTACTCAGAAAATAGATATTCAATATTTAACACGGAGAAATACCTAACAATGAGGAAGGCGCGAACAATGAATTGAATGGACTGGAGTTGATCGAGTGGCATGGCTCGGCCATGCAGGCGTGGTCTCTGCCGAATGTTACCTTATATCTTCTATTCATATTAAATATATTGTTCTATCTCTAGCCTAACCTTGTTCTACATCATGTATTGGTAATTGCTACGATGATGTGACTTCCACGTAAGATTTTATAGATTAGGCAGTTATATCATGACAAATCTACAATTATAGGATTGAGTCTATTATTAGAGCAGTACTAATATCATAGTAGACCATAATTCTACAAGGTACCGTAATTGTGAGTCTCGTGTCTTCTAATTGTACCGAAGGAAAATCAACATGATTAGAGTTTCCTTTCAAATACGCGGATTTGAGGCGATCGATGCTGATGCTGTCGTTAGTTTCGTTCTTATCGGTCATATAGTACCTAGGTTCACTCTAGAGGACTCTGAACTGTCTTTCGTTTACTGTTCCAAGATGTCAAAGTGAGTCGCGATGTACACAGACGCGTGCTCCCTCTTTTAGCCCCGGTGTGATATGGAAAGAAAGATTTTATCCTGCACCATCCTCAAAGCCTTAGACATTCTAAAGGGACATAAGGTTGCGACATTTAGAAGCTCCCACCTTCAATGGACCTATCCTTGACTATCAGTTGCACATTCGCAACGCAACTTTCGTGAAGCGCGCCAAATGTGATACTGATTAAAACCATCGACATTCATATCTTATAAATTATCAACCCAGCTGTGTAATTTACTACAATTGATATTGTATCATTTGTATCAATTTGATCTTGCCTGTAAACTGGCATGCCTCATGTAACAAACTGTTATTTGAAAATAAATTATTATTATTATTATTATTATTATTATATCGTAGGGTAGCTTGAACAGAAGCATCAGTTGAGTGAAGTGGAGTGGAAACAGGTTTAAATGAATGCATTTTGTTTGTAACCATGCCAGTGTAGGGATCTAGGTTCATGGTCATTGAAGAAGATAAATAATCCACGAGTTGGCCTGGAAGTCGAAGTGTCGTTCCCTAAACGAGTTGAGCTGCAATGTATTCAATGTCAGCTTTCACTGAACTGCGAATACCGAGTGAAACGAGCTGGAGAGCATCGATCAACTGTGAAACGTCTTCAGATGAGAGTGAAGCTTTGAGCTGTCAGTGAAAGCATTCTATCAACGCGTTTGCTTGTGGGCGGTGGACAGTCGTTCGGAATCTCGTGGTTCTTAATGGTGTGGTTAGACAACGGAAACGTCCAGGTTCGAATTTGTGTCTACGGTTTTTAGTGATGGTTGAAGGACAGCTAACGTTCGCTACCCATTGTTCGACGAAGGCGCGGGCCAATGTTCCAGTGTAATTGTCCTTGATGGGTACTGCTTCTAGTTATCGAATGAAATGGTCTATAGAAGTTAAGATGAACATGGTGGAAACGCGCGTCGGAAGTTTTGAATGAGCCTAAAGGACATTTTTTGTGTCTAATCACCTTAGATTTCCGGCAGCCTACACAGGAGCGTGCCCACTCCCTTATATCTTTATTCATACCAGGCCAGCAACATCGTTCTGTCATGAGCTTGATGGTTTCATGAACACCTGGACGAGAGAGCTTGCACGACGTACTGAATATGTTAGGTTGATAATTGTTCGGCACAATAGGACGATTCCTACCTGCAGATGTGTCGCACAGTAAGGTTTCCTCACTTGTTTCCATTTGGGGTTGTTGAAGATAACTCGTGCTGAAGATCAGTATATTTTTGAAGCTGGACGAGTTTAAGAAGGTCGATTCCTTGGAAACTGTTTAAGGGAGTTATATGAGACAAAGGATCTGCAACTACATTGTTCGCCCCAGTAGTGTGTCGT